GGTGAAACGTCTTCAAGTAACTTAAAGAAGTCCAGACGCTTTTCTTTGCAAGCTCCTTTGACTACGATGACCTGGATGACTGAGAACCTTCACAGACATATTGTGGTAGTGCAGTTTTAAGGATTATCATTTCCTCCCACAAAGGGAGGAAGTATGTAACCAGTTCTGTTTATCTGTTTTTTTAGCAGTCTAGTGTTCAGTTTTCAAGATATCATTTTCACGTTTTGTTTGATGGTAGATACTAACAGCTCAAGATTATTTAATTTAGTTGAAAAATGGGTCAAGGTCACACCAAATTTGAAAATCAGATCACCAAATATTTCATCTGTGACATTTGTGAGGTTTCCTCAAACACACTCTGTCAGTCTTGTTGCTGTTGAACAACAAAATGTTTAAAAATGTCGCAAGTTTACCTGTGATATTGCCATGCAGGAGGCGATTGTGAGAACAGCAAACAATTAACACCACACCGATGCTGTTCACAGGACAACAAGAGTAACGATCAGGAGCATCTAGTCTTCATTATCGTTCCCCTCGTACGTGTTATCAAGATTTCAGCGTTTTCACTTCACAACTAAAGTGTGCAGTTTACTTTGTGTGCACTAACATGGAGTCAAGTCAATTACTGCCACCTGTGGCCGAGTACCATAGCCTACAGCCAGATTAACTTGTGACACACATCTGCACCTGGCTCTGTCGCCACGTTTGAATTCGTTTCATGCACAGCACATTTGTAACTTTTAATTTTGACTGTTTTTGTGTCTTGCAAATAAACTTTTAAACTAAATAAAATGATATTATGTATTTATTTTTGACCTACAATAAGAAATGCCAAATTATATACACAAGTTTATAGAAATCGCCACTCCTGTTGTTCATCATGATTTTAATGTTTTTTACCATAACAAAGAAATACGTCTTGAACAAATAAATTACACATTAATACTTCATTAGTGTTATAACATCACATCCTGTAAGCATAGTCTGACTGTGTCTTGTCACTGGAAATGAACATTTTCACCCAATAAAGGTAATTCATCAACATGGCTGGAGAGAGTTGGTGGTTTAAAATGTCTAGTTTTTGGTAAATATCTGAATCTTACGACCAAAGTGGTCATCTGATGTAAAATGTATAGAAATCATACTTATATACCAACAAGGCAGTACATCACTGTCGCAACAGCGTTGGTTTATGGCTTTTCTGATAATACCTGGTGGGCTGGTCTTGAGTCAAAATGCCCGGGCCAATTTTTTGTCCCACTCCAGCTCGCCCTCCCACCCACTCTATGCTGGCTAGACGAAACAAAAAATCATTCATGTCTGTACATCTATCTAAAAGCACAAGTATACACTGCAATAGTTGTACAATCCTTTATCGACCAAGCATCATTTAAGCCACCTGGACTTATATGGTAATTTTGGCTGGAAAAAGACCAGAAATCATACTATAAACGAATGCGTTTGTCCCCTTTTTTCAGAATAAACCCAGCTTTCAATATCTGGCCTCATTTTATATTATTGTATTGTTATGATGGAAACACAGTTTAAATTCGAAAAAAACCCCCCAAAAAAACGGACTCTGTTTTTTCAGATTAATAGTTAAGTGGAAACAGGAACAAAATGCAACACAACATCAACTTTAAATGTGAACTATACTAAATATGTACAAAAACGTTTTTGAGCCTACTCAGTTTTATAAATCTGTTTTTTGGTGCGTTGCCACTTCTCCACACCCGCCTCTCTGCTCCGTGCGTCATCAATTCTTACTTGTGATTGGACCGTTATTGCGTGTGCTTTCTAATGATGCACCATAAAGTTTCGTAAAGCTTGTCTTCTCGTCTTTCAGTAACCATTTGAAGTGTCTCTCTAGTCCAAATGGTCGAGGAGTTACGTTAGTATGAAGCGCACATGGAAAAACCTAAGCTGTGTTGACTTTTCTTTTTTCAGACAGCAGTAGCTTGTCAACACTGTGTGCTACCATAATACACCAAAGATCCCTGTAAAGCGCAGCTTCTCTTCTTTTTGAAACTTTTCGTATTCTCTTTCTAGCATAAACAATGACGGCGTTACAGATGTTTGAAAAGCGCTTGTAAAATGGGCCAGTCGGTGGGCCCATGGTCAATAAATTAATATCTGCACATCCTCTAAGAAGAGAAAATAGTTGTTAATTTGTTTGAGGGGCACCTCAATATCAGCTTTATTTTTAAATTTCAATTTGTGTCCTTCGTTGGGATATTTATATATTAAAGCTATTTGTATTGTTAGAGCTACTTTGGAATTACAATGAACATGTTACACTGGACATTAGGCACACAAAGAACTACAAAACACAGAAGCATGTGACCGATAATTGTATAGGAGTAATATTTAGACTTGGACAGTATTAATTACTTAAAATTAGTAACAGATAATCTCAAATAAAAATATTGTATAAAATAACAATAACAATACTGAAGGTAACACAACTGATCAACTGCAAGTGAAAAGTCACACAAACAATGACTATAAGGCTAAACACTGAGTACAAAGTCAGTCTGCCTTTACCTAACTTGTAACATCTACCAAATGTAGCCTAAATTCATCACAGAAGTTAAGGTCACATCAAACAAAAAGACAGTATTCACACCTAGTTATCAGCTACAAGTATCCAGAATATTTTGGTGTGCATGTACATAACAACGATGAACAACTAGAACATATTTGATTTAGGTTGGATTCACTCAGAAAATGAAAGCTATACACTTAAAAAAGTAAACTGTTGGATTAACAAGAAAAAACAATATGTACATCAGTTGCACACGATAAGTTTTGTTTAGTCAGCATTAATGTTCTGATTTATAGCTGCACAACTTTTACATGCTAAATGAACATGATTTTTATATTATATTTATTATGTTTTTCAGTCATTTACAGTTATCACATGTAAATATAACACAAAATGTTTGTTTATGTTTAACCTTTTTATGTTCAGTGTATTTAGTTATCTTATGTTAAACCAATATAATGACTACATTTTAATATTTATTATGTATATATGTGTGTATTTGTCTTGCTAATCTCAAATTACAGATAAATATTAGTTGGTCTACAGGCTCACATCTGCAGATGATAAATAAATTTTGTAC